CCCCCCAGCCTTATTCTCCTGCCACATGGAAGACTTCATTAAGGCTGTAAAGCAGGTCGAAGATCAGGACCCTGKCTCAGAGCCGTTAGCCGTGTTAAAGAAGCTTCGCCGGGCAGCCGGTCTTCATGATGCATTCATTCAGAACTTCCTGGGAAATGCTGACACCGGGGSTTCAGAACTGCATCGTGACCTCTCAAATTACATCTGGAAAGTTGTTCATCACAGAGTGCTGGAAGATGCCAGAGAAGAAGGTCTGGTTCTGACCCCTGATGGTACCACGGTCGCCCTTGGACCCCTCCTCCTGGGTCTTGAGGCCGGCTTCTCCAAGATTGGCGCGTCACGCCTCTAYCAGCTGACTCTGGCCAAAGATCTGGGCCTCGCTCTCGGCTCTCCTGAAGAACATCGATTYGGACCCGACGGCTGCTGGGACAACCTAACCTTTCCTCAAGTCTTCACCCTCTCAGACAAACCCTCCCTACTCACCACAGCTCAGGTCAACGGAGGCATGGAYGGTGTGATACTTGGTACGGAGGTTTCTGCCGATTCAAGAGGTTCTTTCAATCTGAGCAGTCTACTGAGGGACTACTACAGTCAGCAGCTGGGYGGCAAGGGAATGGACGGTGCGCCCCGTCTAATCAGCCGACGCCGCAGGGAGAACTTTAAAGCCCTAGCCCCTCCTTCCTTGCTGGCCAGACATGTGGGAAACTCAGTTAACCTGCGACAGACCCTGGAAGGACACCCAAAGATGAYGAAAAAGATGAAGCGGCAGCTGGTGACTGCAATAAAAAAGGAAATGAAACAGTTTGTCCACATGTACATGGGTGAGCATGAGAAAAATACAGGGAAACGTCTGAATTTTAATCATTCTGTCTCTAAAATTAGAGTGACTTTGTCGGATGATAGCATTCTTAATGTTTTCCAGATTGTCCTCCCTTCATTGCTCGGTGTATGTGGGGGGCAGAGCCGTACAGAGGAACACCCACCAACCTGACCCTGCCTCTGTCCTACATGTAYATCCATCACACCAGCACTCCCAGCCAGCCCTGCCTGACCTTTGAGCAGTGCTCTGCAGACATGCGATCCATGCAGCGCTTCCAYCAAGAAGACCGAGGCTGGGATGACATCGGCTACAGGTAAGGGCAACGTTCGCTTGCATCCTACACGCCCACAAGTGAAGTTCCTAACCATCAGCTGTGCTCCTAAAGCTTTGTTGCCGGCTCTGATGGGTACATATACGARGGTCGAGGGTGGTCCTGGCAAGGAGCCCACACTTATGGACACAACTCCAAAGGCTATGGAGTTTCCTTCATTGGAGACTACTCCACCCGGCTGCCGTCTCAGCACTCCATGGGGCTGGTGAGAGACCAGCTGGCATCCTGCGCTATAGGAGGTGGGCGGCTGGTGTCCTCCTTCACTGTGCAGGGGCACAGGCAGGTGGTGAACACGTCCTGTCCCGGAGAGGCTTTCTATCAGGAGATCAAAGGCTGGGAACGCTTTGGGGTAAGTAGGAACACTGGSAACATGCTGGTGTTGTGAAGAAAACACTGAGATTAATCAAACAAAGTGCCTTTTGATCAGTTTAATGGGTCACAAAAACATGTAGGGTTTAAATGTTCAGTGTATCACTTAAATAGTTTAGATCTTCCTTGATGTCGGTATCTTTTCGATTGGCCTCAGGACCASTTTGAGCCTGACAGGACTGATGAGCTAATGGCTAGTCCGTACAAACTTCCATCTTTAAACATCTCCACTATTCAAAAGTTTATAACGTTACTTGAGTTTCCATAAACCTGGATATTGCCATAAGTTTCACAGTGCCTGATTATTAACATGATGATGTGTTTTTTTTGTCAGCTGCAGCAGCAGCAGCTAGCTATAGCACTTCTGATTCATGTATGGATCACTTCAAAGMTCTGAAAGATTAGTTAAATCACGCCTCACAAGAAAACAACAGGAGACTCAGTTTTTAACAGTTGTTTAAGGGTCCGGTCACTGAATAGACAGGGCTCTCCCTGTCGATCTGACGTCTTTGCCACAGGGGAGTGGCCGGGCCGGAAAACAAATGTGTGCCATTTATTTTTTATTCGTCACCAGAATCTCTTAGACTTCATTCAGGTCTGTTTTAGGTCCAACTGAAGGTTGTGTATTCACACCAGGAAAGTCTTCTGGTCCGGATTAAAAGAAGACTTTATTTTGGTGTGGTTTGCATTCACAYTGTGCTTTTTTGCAAGCAGGCTATAATTWATAAATAAAGCCACGCGGGTGATGATCTCACACTCCTGGATGTTATGTAAGCTGATGCTCTGATCCCACTGTCCCCTYTCCCACTCACATCTGTGAAGTGGTGTCTGAGAGTGACCAAGGTCGATCTGATGAACACGACRTCACTACAGCTCATTGTCTGTAGARCCGTGTTAGCATTAGCAACACTGAARTTTGAGGYYGGTCTGTGTTCACACCAGAAGTGAACCACACCAGTGTTTGCTGGGAAGCGGACCRAGGCCACCTCARATATGGGTCTCTGTCCGATTGTTTGGTCCGGATCAGGGTTCACATGAGTGTATTCACACCTGCATAAAAGGTTCGGACTAACGGGGAAAACAAACTTTGGTCCGTTTAAAGCGGACYAACTGTGTCAGGTGTGAATACACCCTAAGACTTTATATTCTGCGGTTAAATATTTAAGTCTAAATTTATCGCCTGGTCCTTGCTTTGCATTTCCAGTAAAAACATGATATCTTACAGTGACTTAAAGTTTCTAATTAAAGCTGTTAAAAAGTTATCTACAACAGGTTAGATRTTRACTATTTCTAACTTCAACACAGGAACTTACTTTAAAATGCCTGAACMATCACTTTATTTATGTTTCATAAGTTGGCATAAGTTGTCTAGTGTGACAGGGACTTGAACGATATAAAGTGCTTAAATTCTATCATTTCTTTTAGGAGGTGAAGAACTGAAAACCTTTGTGTGACAAGAAGATGCTGGAAGCTGCTCAAACCATAAACAATAAATAAATACTCTTCCTGTTCCCAGGTGTTGACTGTCAGCGTATTGTTTTAATACTTTTGTATTAATATCTTATTTTTACTTTAATCATAAAGCCTTTCAGAGATGATTTAGGGTTTTTACATAGTTAATATTAAATGGATACTAATGATGCAGCCTATAAAAATTTAAAATACAATCCTGTAAAATATTGATCTCACATAATACTGAGATTTTGTGCAACTGGTTAGTGCTCAGAGTATGTGTTGAGAATAATTCCCTGCTACTACCACCTCAAATTTCAGCTCACCAACAGTAAAACAGACTGAGTTACAGCTGTTTAATTTACTAAGGTTAATTAACTGTTACTATTTTGAATTGGGTTGATTTCAAAAGCTAATCCATTGAAGATTATGACTTTTGCTAGAATTTTTTTCTAGAATAGTTCAGTTTTCTGCTGCAAGCTGGAAGATTCTGAGGTTGTAAAGTGTTCATAAACTGAAATATTTGCATTTAGTTTTAGGTTTTCTCCTGATAAAGTCTCCTCAGCCTGCAGGAAACATTTTAAATGTAAAGTAGCTAAATATAAGTCTCTTTGATGCAAAGCACCAAAAGTCAGACACTTTCCAGTATGTTTAGTTGTAGTTTTTTCCATAAATGTTTCTTTCAAAACAAGAGATTTAAATAAAATTCTAGGTATTTCTCCCATGTTAAGGACATCTGAATACTTTTTCCAGACTGAGATTTACACAAATAAATACAAGAATACCTGACAAATTCTGTGTTGAAATTGTCTGATTCCCCCCCCCCCACACCCAGTTGTACTGAAACTGCTGATTGTTTCAAATACAATCAGGGAAATTTTTCTTAAATCTTTGTCAAAATCAGACAAATCAGTAACCAGGGTCACGTTTATTTGATTTTCAGAACAGTTTAATTATGATTTTTATATAAATAAAWTTTTTTTAATATAACTGAAAACAAATTACAACAAAAATTATTTTAGATTTCAGTGGGTGCAGAACTATTATCTGTGAAAACAATTCAAATTGATTACAATCATCCATTGTGTCAAAAAAGGGAAATACTTAGCTTTTCACAAAACTTAACTCAAGTTATTGGATTACTTAAGTCACTTGTTTTTTTTTTTACATACACATAATGATGCCACATGCAATTAAAATAAATCATATTATAATTAGACTTTTATTKATCTAAAGTAAATTACTGTATCTGGTTGTAATAAAAGCTTTATTATCATGAGGTGTGATATACAAACAGACACAATTTATCAGTGATTATCCAATAATACATTAATGCATGATTTTGCCCACAAAATAACTGCATCCCACCACTAGGTGAAGGTGCACAGGGATCAAAAGTAGCCGGCAAAATTTGTTGCGTAAAATCTCCATTTCACTGTATTTTCTACAGCTACTTTTGCTGTTGCCCAGTTGGACTGTGAAGTGGGAATTTCCCACTTAATAATTGTAAATTTAAACTGGAATGCCCCTCCAGTGGGGCTTTCCTGTCAGAAAGTGGGACAGTACAAAACTCAAGACGGCTTCATCACAACCCAACAGTGTGTAAAACTCTCTTCTTTTAATAGCATTTCTGCATATTTTTTTCACATTTAGTTAACCGTACACACCAGTACTTGTCAGTGTTTATAAGAGGAYGTGTGAAACACTGTTTCTATGCAGGAAATACCAGATAGATCACAAAACGTCAAAGTTAATTACAACTGGGCCTGTGAGGACCACCATCATGCTCATGTGGCTCTCAGTGAAAATTAGTTTGACAGCCCTGTTTTAAAACAAGCTTATAAAAATCAGTTTTACATACAGCACAGCCTTTTGGCAAAATAAAAATAAAATAAAAAAAATTCACGCAACAACATTAATCAGACAGCAGGGGGCGCTAAAWGCCTATTTAACAACCTGAATTTAGTTTTTTTCTTCTGAGGATTTTTTTTATCAAACTGGTTGAAAAACAAAAATAAGCATTTTATCACAAAGCTAGCGGGGATTTATTAGGGGTATATTACACGAACAATGGATTCATAACACCTTAATTTACAAGAAGCTTACTTAAATGAAAATTGGGCAAACTTCATCTGCTTGACAAGCTCACTCAGACTTATTGTTTTTTTTTAATGGAAAATAAATAAGTTATCATGACTTGTGCACTTTGCACAACAAATAGATTCATAAAAGGAGTAAAAGATGGGATTGAAAGAAGCAGGCCGTTGTGTAAAAGTTGGAGTAATTAAACTTTACCCCGGTGGGTCGTTGAAAGTCTTCCCCTCCCCGGCCGCTGACGTTACGTACGCCGCCGTGGCGTGTCTGTATGGTGCCTGCTGAGAGCCGAACAACATGGAGTCCTCCGCCTGGCGTCTCCGAGGGAATCCAGCGAAGAAGACCTGAGAGTGGAGTCAAAAACAACAACAACAGACAAATAAAAACAGGAGCCACTTTCTCCGCCCGAGCCTCGGAGCGGAGCGGCGAAAAAGCTGCAGCTCCGTCCCGAAACCATGACGAGCTAAAGCGGACAGAGTCGTCCTCCCCGAGTCGCTAACCCACCAGGCCGATTCCTGTGAGTACTTCTTAAAAAAAAGAGCTGCGGTTTGGGGTTTGAAAGAAGGCAGAGTGCAGGGACGTTTTCTCCTAATCATCTGACAGCAGCTGGATCGATGTCAGCCACGTCCTGTGAAGGGGGAGCGTGGGGGGGACACAGAGAGGCTAACCCGTGGTGGTGGGGGGGACACCTTCATCCAGCCGGGCATTTTCCTGCTTTTCAGAGGGGCATCAGGAGAGGACATGGGCCTGAATTTAAAGGCCACTTATTTATGTAACCATCTGAGACATATTGTGAAAATAGGTCAGACAGAACTAAAACTGCAGCGTGTAATAATGAGCAGCCAGACCTGGGGCACATTCTAGTTTAGATTATAATCCTGTAGGTTTATTTAGATTATTTCCTGCAGGTTTTACTTATGCATGCATGTCACTGCAGCATGTCATGTGGCACATTGTGGAAAAAAAAAAAAAAAGCTTCAATGTGACTTCATGTGTGATTGTTTCCAGAGGAGGAGACACAATGTAGGGCAAGCTGGTCASCAGTGGGTCTCCATACTGTCCTCTGGGGGAGCATGGAGCCAGATGGGCAACTCAGAACCCCAGGGACCAGCTATGGGTCCCCACCCTACGGTTCAGATCACGATCTGGTCAACCCTGACTTCTTCGACTGCAACTTAGGGGTAAGATGTTCCTCACAATCGTAACCACGGCTCAACTTTCTGTCATGGATCACACAAACAGRAGTTGGGAGATGGTGTAAAATGTAAATAAAAACAGAAAGATCTGCATGTCTCCTAAACTCACATTTTATTACAATGAAACAGGGTAAACTAAGACGTTTTTTTTTGTTTGTTTGTTTAAAAAAAGGTACGTTTAAGTTTGATTGCAGTTCAACATTCATGGGTCGTCTTTGCTGGATATTTAGTTTGAATGGCAGCAGATATTTTAAAACCTGTATATACAACGGGTAAAATAAGTATTGAACACGTCACCATTTTTCTCAGTAAATATATTACTAGAGGTGCTAACGACATGAAATTTTCACCAGATGTTGGTAACAACCCAAGTGATCCATACATACAAAGAAATCAAACCATAAATGTCCAGAAATGAAGTTATTTGTAATAATGTGGAATGGCACAGGGAAAAAGTATTGAACACACTTAMTGAAATTTATCTAATACTTTGTACAAAAGCCTTTGTTGTCAATGACAGCTTCAAGACACCTCCTGAATGGAGAAATAGTGGCATGCATTGCTCAGGTGTGATTTTGGCCCATTCTTCCACACAAACAGTCTTCAAATCTTGAAGGTTTCGTGGGCCTCTTCTATGAACTCTGATCTTTAGTTCTTTCCATAGATTTTCTGTTGGATTCAGGTCAGGTGATTGGCTGGGCCATTCCAGCAGCTTTAGTTTCTTTCTCTGAAACCAACTGAGAGTTTCCTTGGCTTTGTGTTTGGGCTCATTGTCTTGCTGAAATGTCCAGCCAYGTTTCATCTTCATCATCCTGGTAGATGGAAGCAGATTTTTATCAAGAATGTCTCTGTACATTTTTCCACTCATCCTTCCTTCAATTATTTGAAGTTTGCCAGTACCATATGCTGAAAAACAGCCCCACACCATGATGTTCCCACCTCCAAACTTCACTGTTGGTATGGTGTTTTTGTGCTGATGTGCAGTGCCATTTGACCTCCAAACATGATGTGTATTCTGGCATCCAAACAGTTCAATGTTGGTCTCATCTGACCAGACTATATTCTCCCAGTATTACACAGGCTTGTTTAAATGTTGTGCAGCAAACTTTAAAGGAGCTTCAACATGCTGTTTCTTCAGCAGTGGAGTCTTGCGTGGTGAGCGTGCATACAGGCCATGGTGGTTCAGTGCATTACTTATTGTTTTCTTTGAAACAATCGTACCTGCTAATTCCAGGTCTTTCTGAAGCTCTCCACAAGTGGTCCTTGGCTCTTGGACAACTCTTCTGATAATTCTTTTCACTCCTCTGTCAGAAATCTTGCGAGGAGCACCTGGTCGTGGTCGGTTTCCACTTCTGAATTATGGCCCCAACAGTGCTCACTGGAACCTTCAGAAGTTTAGACATTCTTCTGTAACCGATGCCATCATTATGCTTTGCAACAAYAAGGTTGTGAAGGTCTTGAGAGAGCTCTTTACTTTTACCCATCATCAGATGGTTCTTGTGTGATACCTGGCCATCATTTGGGACTGAACCAGCTGATATTAACTTGCACTGACAAGGGGCATGCTTGCTTTCTAATTACTGAGAGAGTTCAGCTGGTGTCTTGGCTTTCCATGCCTTTTTACACCTCCCTTTCTTCATGTGTTCATACTTTTTCCCTGTGCCATTCCACATTATTACAAATAACTTCATTTCTGGACATTTATGGTTTGATTTCTTTGTATGTATGGATCACTTGGGTTGTTACCAACATCTGGTGAAAATTTCATGTCATTAGCACCTCTAGTAATATATTTACTGAGAAAWATGGTGACATGTTCAATACTTATTTTACCCACTGTACGTTTCTACATTAAATAGTGCCTTAAGCCACCCGTGGCAAAGGCGCTAATGCACCCTCATACCATAAGAGAGGCAGGATTTTGAACTCAAGAGAACAAATCGTTCCTCTTTTCTTTAGCAAGAACATGGTTGTTAAAAAGAATTGCAAACATTGATTTATCTGACCAACTCTGCCTCTGTCTGTTTTAAAGGGGAACTCATGCAAAATTCACTTCACTTCTCACTAGGGTTGGGCATAATCRTATCGTGTGCAATTAATCGTCAGAAAAACATTAATCGATTTATTATTTGGCACTTGACGATTAATACGATTAATGCCACCAGGCAGAGCCCGCTCAATGCTCCTCTCCGCTTCAAATATGATTAACATAAAAATAAAGTTCTGTAATTTATTTATCTATCAACACAATTTAAAATTTGATGTATAGCCTGAAGTCTGTAATTTTGACACAATTTGGAACAGATTTTATGAAGAGCAAATCTTTTCCACTAAAATGGTCATGTGACTAGGACATGAGGGTGTCCAGGGACTCCAGGGGATTAATCCTCAAATTAATCATTATTGGCTAAATACCACAATTAATCGTGATTAATTATTTTTGCCAATATTGCCCAGCCCTACTTCTCACTTCAAAATTCACTTCTTCAATTAAGTAGCCATTATATTATAATAGATGCAGTTTGTCATATTTCAACATGGTCTTGCTGAAATATGTAAGGGGTGGTATTGTTCATACCATCATATAACCTTTAGAAAATACAGCTGTTTACAGTATTATGGGGGGGGATCTGTTGAGTAATTAACATTTTTGCTTGTGAGCATTTACATGCATATAACAACATTCTAGAGCCACAGAGAGGCAGTAGAAAACTCACTGCTCTGACGTGTTGTTGTCACTCAGAGCAGCAGAAGAGGAATCACAGAATGGTTTTGCCCCTTATTATGTTGCACAAATCAAAATACGTCCACCTACGTCTTTTAACTATATTTAACTACCTTTAACTACGTCTTATTCGTGCTGCTGCATACTTTTAGCCAGTCTTTGTGCTGATAAAGTTTATAGGTATTTCCTCATCTGCAGCGAGGAGCCTCCTGTGTCTGTCACTACCTCAATGGGAGACTTTATTTTATTTTTTATCTCGCTCGGAGGTTAAGAGATGCAACCGTGTGTGTGTGTGTGTGTGTGTGTGTGTGTGTGTGTGTGTGTGTGTGTGTGTGTGTGTGTCTGTCTGTCTGCTCCTTTCTCCTCTATTTGTCTTCTAAATGAGATGAGGTGGTCAGAACGCACATCAGTTACGTTATGGGGCATCTAGATCAGATCCTAGAATATTTATGTCCCAGTTTTCATAGCAGCCTTGCAGAACTTTGGCACTTCACCTCATGTGACTCATACAGTCATAATTTTTACATACATCACCATATTCTGATGCCGYGGTAAACTAAAATAACATCATACTGCCCAAGCCTAAAACCTTCCCTGAAAAAAAAATGTAATCTGAATACGAGTATATGTTGTTCTAAAAGCTAGCCATGGCATAGGCAGTAATGCACCCCTATACCATCAGAGAGGCAGGCGGCTGCTCTTTACTTCAAAGAGTGTGATGTGAGTACAAAATTTTAAATTTCAGTTCATCTGATTTGTCTGACCGCAGTAGACAGGTGTGATTCTGGATGGTGTTTACAGATGACTTATTTGCACGATAGAGCTTTAATTGTTTTTATATTTATTGCAAAATGCTCCTATGCACCACTTACTTCGACAACCTTTGTTGCTAATCTTGTTTATTTTTTAAATGTTGTTGCACAAAATTCAAACTTAACAAATTTTTTTCTAGAAATTATTCAGTTTCTTTATTTTAARTATTTATGTTCACTATTTTTTATTGTGAATAAAATGTCTTTATGGTTTTCACAGATCATTGCAATAGGACTTTATGTATTCGTATGTTGCACAGTGCAAACAAAATAGGCAAAGAACTGAATAAAAAGCCAATTGATGGATTTTTGTCAAAACAAGTAAGAAAATTCTGCCTGTTTTTGAATCTCTGTTACTCAGACAGACTTTGCTGTAGAAACATGCTTAAAATGGAAATCAGTCAGAGAAAAAGGGACTTTGCATGTCACTTAATGTGTGTTAGGTGTTATAACARTTTATTTATGTGTGTGATTTCACTGACTAGTCACATTCCCCAAATCTGGGAGATGGCCTGCCGTCTGGAAAAAGCCCGTGGAATGTCTCCATAGAGGAGAGGTCTGAGCAGAGTGAGGACTCTCAGCCTGCTGCAGACCTGCAGAGGGACTCACAGAAGAGTTTCAAGTCTTCAGCCTTCTCGTCGTCCCTCAGCTGGGACTCTGACTCAGAGAAAGAAACACTCGATGGTAACTTTACGTACTGAAACTTACAGAAGGCTATTTCTAACACACTGGTGCAAAAAGGATCCTGTAAGTAATAATCATGACTTATAGCTATCTCCAAATTATGAGTTAGTATCTTCCAATTATAACTTATGACAATGTCATGAGATAGGTGAGTCGTACTTATGAAATAGTATGTCATCAGTTATAATTATAGGCACAGTTTTCACTATTTGCTTGTTATTTTTCTGTATTTGTCATGATCTTTAATGTGCAACTCCTCACAGCTTTGGGAAAACACAGTGCACCTTCACACAGTCACAGTTTAGAGTTCTTGGACAAAGTCTTTCCCAGGTTTTTGGTAAAGGCCCTGTCCCACTATGATTTACACTAGGGATACACAATATATCGGCATCAATATCGGTATTGGCAGATGTTAGTATTTTTTTTTTTTAGAATATCAGTATCGGCCCGATATGTAAAACTGGGCCGATATTGACCTCTGATATTGATTTTCCTCTTTTTAGCTTTGTGTTTCTGWTTTTGGAGGGGAGATGGTTGGTTGAGTGGTATCTGCTGCACAGCCAGGAATAAATGAAGTACAGAGCCATGTCAGAGGTCTGGTCGTTTATTTTAGGTATCAAAAAAAAAAAAGACCCAAGTAGGTTTGTGCATATATGTGTAATATAATTTGTGTGTTTGTCCAATATTGGTAAATATTGGTTATCGGCCATAACAGCAATAATTATATCTGATATCGAAATCGGCTGAAATCTTCATATCGGTGCAYCCCTATTTTACACAACTTATACCAACTTAGGAAAATTTTGTCCAGCACTGAAGATATCTACGTTGAAGATGGAACAAAAGATGTACTGGAAGCCTCTTTTGGACATATACACACTGTCAGTGGTGKACACAGTTTCCCTAAAGCACTAGTAGGGGAACTAATTTCCTGATTAGTGCTTTAGGGCTTTTGCTAATTTTWAAATTTATTAGTGGATTAGCACTTGCTAAATTTATRGGATAAATTTAGAAGCACTAACTGAGGTCTTTAAATGTTATTGATCAACATTATTGTTCACAGTTGAGGGTGAAAGCTGTCGCACATTTTGTTCATATGCTTGACCCCGGTAGGGTCACCCAAGGCAAATAGGTCCTAGGTGAGGGATCAGACAAAGTGCAGCCCAAAGACCCCTATGATGAATACAATAATTGGAGTCAGTGTTCCCTCGCCGGGGCCCTACTCTGGAACCAGGCTTGGAGGTGGGGCACGTTGGCGAGCGCTTGGTGGCCGGGCTTTCATCCATGGAGCCCAGTTAGGCACAGTCCAAAGAGGAGACGTGGGTCCCCCTTCCCATGGGCTCACCACCTGTGGGAGGAGCCGTAGGGGTTGGGCGCCTTGTTTATTGGGCAGTTGTTGAAGGCGAGGACCTTGGCGGTCTGATCCTCAGCTACAGAAGCTGGCTCTAGGGACGTGGAATGTCACCTCTCTGGTGGGGAAGGAGCCTGAGCTGGTGTGTGAGGTTGAGAGGTTCTGACTAGATATAGTCGGACTCAYCTCAACGCACCTCTCTGGCTCTGGAACCAGTCTCCTCCAGAGGGGTTGGAYGCTCTTCCACTCTGGAGTTGCCCTTGCTGAGAGGCGCTGAACAGGATTGGGCATACTTATTGCCCCCCATCTCGGTGCTTGTACGTTGGTGTACACCCTGGTGAACGAGAGGGTAGCCTCCCTCCACCTATGGGTKGGGGTACKGGTCCTGACTGTTGTTTGTGCCTGTGCGCCTAACAGCAGCTCAGATTACCCACCCTTTTTGGAGTCCTTGGAGAGGGTGCTGGAGAGCGCTCCTAACGGGGACTCCCTCGTTYTGCTGGGGGACTTCAATGCTCAAGTGGGTAATGGCAGTGAGACCTGGAGAGGGCGTGGTTGGGAGGAACGGCCCCCCTGATCTGAACCCGAGCGGTGTTTTGTTATTGGACTTCTGTGCTCGTCACGGATTGTCCATAACTAACACCATGTTCAAGCATAAGGGTTTGCTATAGGGTTATATGTGCTCTTGGCACCAGGACACTCTAGGCCGCAGTTCGATGATCAACTTTATTGTCGTTTCATCTGATCTGCGGCCGCATGTCTTGGACACTCGGGTGAAGAGAGGGGCGGAGCTGTCAACTGACAACTACCTGGTGGTGAGTTGRCTCCATTGGTGGGGGAGGATGCCGGTCAGACCTGGCAGACCCAAACGTTTAGTGAGTGTCTGCTGGGAACGTCTGGCAGAGTCTCCCGTCAGACGGAGCTTCAACTCACACCTCCGGGAGAACTTTGAACATGTTCCGGGGGACATTGAGTCCGAGTGGGCCATGTTCCATGCCTCCATTGTCAAGGCGGCTTACCTGAGCTGTGGCCGTAAGATTGTCGGTGCCTGTCGTGGCGGAAACTCTCGAACCTGCTGGTGGAAATCGGCGGTGAGGGACGCTGTCRGGCTGAAGGAGGAGTCCTATTGGGTCTTTTTGGCTTGTGGGACTCCGGAAACAGCCGGTAGGTATTGGCAGTCCAAGTGGATTGCGGCTCGGGTGGTCACTGAGGCAAAAACCTGGGTGTGGGAGGAGTTCGGAGAGGCCATGGAAAAAGACTTCCGTACAGCTTCGAGGTGATCCTGGTCCACCATCCAGCGTCTCGGGGGGTGGGTGGGTGGGGGGAAGCGGTTCGCCATCAACACTGTTTATGGTGGGGATGATGCGCTGCTGACCTCWWCTTGGGACGTTGTGGGTYGGTGGGCGGAATACTTCGAAGACCTCCTCAATCCTACCGACACGTCTGCCCATGAGGAAGCAGAGTCTGAGTACTCTGTGTCGGACTTTCCAATCTCTGGTGCCGAGGTCACTGAGGTGGTTAAAAAGCTCCTCGGTGGCAAGGCGCCGTGGGTGGATGAGATTCGCCCAGAGTTCCTTAAGGCTCTGGATGTTGTGGGGTTGCATTGGTTGACACGACTCTACAATATCGGGTGGACATTGGGGGCATTTCCCCTGGATTGGCAGACCGGGGTGGTGGTGCCCATATTTAAAAAGGGAGCATGTGTCCTAGGTGAGGGATCACCTAGGACACACAGTGTGTTCCAACTATAGGGGGATCACACTTCTGAGCCTCCCTGGWAAAGTCTATTCRGGGGTCCTAGAGAGGAGGGTCCATCGGATAGTCAAATCTCGGATTCAGGAAGAGCAGTGTGGTTTTCATGCTGGTAGTTGGACACCGGACCAGCTCTGCACCCTCAGCAGGGTCCTGGAGGGTGCATGTGCTTTGTGGACTTGGAGAAGRTGTTTGACCGTGTCCCTMAGGGACTCCAGTGGGGGTTACTCTGGGAGAATGGGGTACCAGACCCATTGATACAGGCTGTAAGGTCCCTGTACGACCGGTGCCAGAGCTTGGTCCGCATTGCCGGTAGTAAGTCAGACTTGTTTCTGGTGAGAGTTGGACTCCGCCAAGGCTGCCCTTTGTCACCAATTCTGTTCATAACTTTTATGGACAGAATTTCTAGGTGCAGCCAAGGTGTTAAGGGGATCCTTTTTGGTGACCTTAGGATCACRTCTCTGCATTTTGCGGATGATGTGGTCCTATTGGCTTCATCAGATTGTAATCTCCAGCTCTCACTGGAGCGGTTCGCAGCCGAGTGTGAAGCGGCCGGGATGAGGATCAGTGCCTCCAAATCTGAGACCATGGTCTTGGGCCAGAAACCGKTAGGGTGCCTTCTCCGGGTTGGGGAGGAGATCCTTCCCCAAGTGGAGGAGTTTAATTATCT